GAATGTTTTGGAGGTGGTCAATGAAACGAAAATCCTCGGTGTCTGGGTTCAAGGTGACCTAAAATGGGACAAACAAGTCAAAGAAATGATGTCGAAGAGCAAGAAACGGGTACATATACTGAGCAGACTGAAGAGATTTCGAATCCCACGAGAAGATCTAGTTGCCGTATACAAGTCCTACGTCCGGCCAGCTCTGGAATACGCAGCACCGGTGTGGCACCCTGGACTCACAAAGGTGCAGACTAGTGCACTGGAAAAAATCCAAAAGAGGGCGATGAGGATTGTACTTGGAGCTGAACTCACTTACACAACTGCTCTCAAAGAAGCTTCAATAGAAACATTAGAAGAAAGAAGGCATGACCTATGTACAAAGTTTGCCGAAGCATGTGTACGTTCCCATATATACTCGAATGTGTTCCCTCTCAACGACACAACTCATTCCATGCAGCTCAGGACCAGCCGAACGTACAAATCTATCAATGCCAGGACAAAAAGATATCAGAATAGCTCCATTCCATTTCTGACAACTTGCCTAAATGAATAATGCCAAGGTTGTATAAAAGGGGTGAATAGAGAACAATGTACGCCTAACTCTTTTTGACGAAACCGGTGTCACTATTTATTTAATTATTATTATCGATATATATTTTGAAATCAGAACATATTTCTCATATAATTATATTTCCAGGGGCATAATTGATTACCGAAGCATGAACATGGGTATTACGCATAGCATTACAGGTATCAACAAGGTTATTTTTTGTTCAATTAAGCACTCAAATACCTTATCAATGACTTATTTACCCAATCTCTACTGAATGATGCAAAACCAAATTAGATAATATTATTAATGCAAAATTGTTGTTGTATATATATATACATTGAATTATTCTTAATGCTAATATTGTGAATTGTCACTAGAAAGTGATCTAACTATTGATGACAATTCATTGTCTTTGTTAATTATATGGTATTTTAACTAGTAGTATATTTGAAACAATTGTGAAAGAAATATGATATGTTTTTAATTGTAAATTGTCATGCAATTCAGCCCAGGCTGCGAAATGATGATATTAATAAACTCAACTGAACTGAACTGAACAAATTCTTGTTCAGATTTTGTATTTCAAAGATGGCAGTTCAAATACCATTGACATAGCTTTTCAAGATATATTAATGCCAGTTTAAAATCGCCATCATCCTGTTTATGATTTTGTATTTAAAGATGGCAGTTCAAACACCACTGAAATTGCATTTTATGAAATACTGAATCATCAGCATCCTGTTTAGATTTGTATTTCAAAGATCGCAATGCAAATACTGTTAAGACGACTCTTCAAAGGTTGCAAGGTATTTGTGGAAGTGGATTAGGGTCCTGCAGTGTCCTAGGAAGATTGAATTCAAAGAAAGCTGTAATCTTGTGTGAATCTTCTTAGTATAAGTCTCGCCTGTAAGAACAGCTTACAATGTTTCTTCTGTAAGAGAGGCAGGTATTATGTACTTACGGAATAAACCTCTTCTTCAGCAAGCAGTTTGTAGTAGTGGGCTTATATTCTTGTTTTTTCTTTCCTCTCTTTAAAAAAATATGATCAGACACGACTGGGGCACACTTGTGTTTAGAAGTTTATAAGATCTAACAAAGAGGACAAGCAGTTTAATTCATTAAAGCCTTTACCCCATATTGGGACTATGGTTGTATGACATCATAGACTTTTATTGCATACCTGCCACCTGGACCAAGTAAACACTATTTCTAAACGTAACTTGAAAGCCGATTGCAACCCTAACCCTAACTATATCTTTTAGTTTGATAACATAATAAAGCCTGGACTAGCATCCGTGGCTACATATTCATTTATTTCATGGAAGATCCAAATTGAATCGCACCGGAATGACTCGCCCGTTTACGTCAGGAAAGTCTGAGGTTCAGAGTTAAAATTCTTGTATCATATGAGATAGGAAAGAAATATAATGCATATCTACAGATGTACACTACATATGATTTTGTGAATGTAATTGATTTACCTTCTATAAATTACAAATAATGTGTATATCTAGTAAAAACATTTGATTTCATACAGTGCATGAAGAAAGGAAATGTTTGAGTGTCGATAGCAAGTAATATTCAGTGCTCATGAGACTCAGTCTTCTAGCTAAATACAATACCGAAGATTTATCTAAGAGCGATAAAACCATTTCATCTTGTCAAAAGCTTACCCCTATATACTCTACCCACAAAAGAAGCTATTCTGAAAAGATGAGAAAGGTAAATGGTGATTTAAATCCTATCTTGTGCTTAAGCACAAATTATATTGTGTAATCTGGGAAAGTATAAGAAAAGGATCCGTAAACACTTATACAACCCAGTGCTCTAACTTCCCCCATTACTTTGTATCCTGTAATACATAATGGATTATTGAAATCTTAAGTATAGTTAGGGGATTGATATTTAATGAAGGTTAATACATGCATATAGTGCATCTATTGGTAAAAAAGGCCTATGCACTCTTTTTGCTTTTTCATATGATTTAGGGGGGGGGGTAGGTGCACCTCTTTAAAAAAAAATGCATGGTCAACGGGGGAAAAAATACTCTAAAAATTTCACTGATGGTCAATGAAACGTCTAACTGTTCCTAATCTTTAAAAAAAAAAAAAAAAATCAGTAAATCGGGGGATGAGTAATTATGGGGTTGATTCCGTTGTTCCCCCTTTTTATGTTTGTGAATTAAAGAGAGTGAATACAAGAGCAATTATGTTCAGGTCAGGAAAATCTGTGTCCCTTTTATCCCCGTGAGAGTTTCTGTTTTGAGGGGAATTGGTCATTATGGGATTTTGAAAGATTTTTTTAGAGGATAGGTCATTCAGAGGGTATCTCATTTAGATCCTGTATTTATGTAGATTATTGTTGAAATAGGGGTAATTCATACATTTGTCTAGTTACGTAATTCCCAAAAATGTATATAGTATTACCCTTGCCCATGCATTTCAGCCTCACACAGTAACTTGAGGAATTCACAATATAATGCCGAAGTTTTATGTTAGGAGGCCATTTTCTCAAAAAATACTTACAGAAAAAGGCCATGCCATCATATCAAGAATAATAATGCTATAAGAAAGACTAATGGAAAATACATGTTATCTCATTTGACACACTTACCAAGGAATCTCCTTGCACTGACTAAGAATGTTGAATTTGTGGACAAGCGCCGTGAGCACCTAAGCATGGTGCATACCAGTGCTACAAAAAGCCGTCATCACAATTATATATTTTTTTGGGGTGGGGGGGGGGGGGGGACAACATGAGTTCTAGAGATCTGCTTTGGTTGAACCCATAGTTTTGTCAAGCATTGCCAATACTTTGATGTAGTACGTGTCAAGCTTAGCTTAACAATGAGAAACAGTAGGATGTGTAACAAACTGTTTGTGATATATAATGCATTACTTTTGAGTTCAATAGCTGCGGATATATAAACTGCCCTGTATACAAAGTGTAAAGAGAATTTTGTGGAGATGAACATCTAGATGTGAAGACTGAATGATAATGATAATGAATTTATGAAGATTAAAACAAAATGAAAACTTCTGTATTCATTTAGTGCATCTCTTTTTTTCATTTTTTGACCTGTGTTTATAACTAAACAGATATCCCTTCAAACTTAACCCTGCCCCCTTCTCTCTCTCTCTCTCTCTCTCTAGACTCTACTTGTCTACCAATCTATGTTTCTGGCTGTCTACCACTCTGTTCTCTTTCTCTATTACTACAGATTAGAAAAATCCTGAAATAGCACATTGGGAGCATTCTCTTTGAAAATCTATGTTTACAATTCATTTTGAAAGAAATTTTTATAGAGTAAAGCAATTTTCCAATAAAAAGTCTACCTATTACAAAGTCATAACTTTTTGCTCTTTAAAAAAATATACATTCTACTTGCAGACGTTTTAAAATGTTGTGTAAAGAGGAAGAGAAAGAAGAAAGTTGTTTATATTATTATTTTAATACAACAGAAAAGCATAGAAAACAAAAAGAAACCATAACATAACGCTGTTAATTGTTTTAGTTATATTCTCGCAATAAGATATGTGAGTACCTCCTCACAAAGAATAAATTATTCCGTTGTGTTACTACTTTATCCAATCAAAAGACGTATTGCGTACCATATGACTCGCCGTTAGAACGCCTCCATTTACCAAATGGGGTAATTTGGTGTAGAGGGATCAAAGTCCGTGCATAATCGCATACACCTGTTAATCGCATACGAAGAATCAAAAGACAAGTGGTAGATAATTCGACTGCGTCGTGTTTCCAAGGAGAAGTCCGCTTTGGCTTCGGGAAGTCATCTAACATTGACAGAAGAGTGACATTTTATGCTCCATTTGAAGATTCTGTTGAGAAACTTTGAGATTTTGTGATCATTTTGTGATAAATTGTGAAAATTTCTTACGACCGAGACCTAATTTGAATTGCAACCTGACACGGCCACGGGAGCGCTTCGGTTTCCTGAGCGGCACGGCACGGGAGGTTCATTCACCGCAGACATTACGGCCGATTGTGCACTGACGACGCCGTACAACACCTGCGTTGCTTACCGTTAACCGTCGGAACGCAGAAACAACTTGCTGTAAATCATGGATATTGAGGTTGAGCAGTGAGATATTTTATGTTTTCAACGACGGAAACTCGTTCATTTATAAGTGGAGCTCTATACTGTGTATATTGTTGACGATTCCGATGCTATGCTAGTGAGCAGGTGATTTTCTACTGCTTCGGTCTTTTCGGCTCATGATCTACTATTTTCATTATCCGAAACTAGAAAGAAAGCAACGCATTCTATTGAGTAACGTGTATTGATTGGCAACCACGGACTATTCATTCATTGCACTTTCTACTCGGACACGAATTTGGAAGGAATAAGTTCTTTGACTCATGACAGGTGTCTTTAACATTGCTAACAGGAACAAACTTTTGTATTAAATTAATACCTTGAATTTATAAATACAAGACATCTAACTCTTAACTGTAAATTAATAGGCAACTCTGACTCTAGTCTGATTAAAACATAAGTATAGTCTAATTCTAAACAACTCCAAATATTTCATCAGGAATTAGTCATTCATCTTTCAACAGAATATTTGGATGATTGTGGATGTGATGGTTACAGATCATGCAGATGGAATATGTTCTCTGCTGTGAAAGACAAAAGGTGACAAATTAAACACTTTCATATGATGGTGTGACACACAAATCTGCAAAAATGTATCCTGGCAGAAGAAAAGCAAAGCTGCCAAGGACAAGCGCAATGAACCTCAAAACAGTGGAAGTACCGAGAGGCCGAAACGGCTATGGCTTCACTGTATCGGGTCAGTCGCCTTGTGTATTGAGTTGCATCCTGCACGGAAGCCCTGCAGAAATTGCTGGGATAAAAACGGGTGATAGTGTCATAGCAGTGAACGGAGAGAATGTGACACGTCTCAGCCATGAACAAATTATCAAGTTGATAGGAGCAACTACCGGGGTGCTGCGTCTGACTGTCGCGGAGGTGGATTATTCAGAGTCTTCCGATGACGAGTATGTGTACATGCCCAGGACTCGATACCCGCACACTAAGAGATCGCAAAGTGCCACGCCTTTGTCGATGACTGGGAATAAACCACGCGCTGAAATGGTTGTGGAAGAGATGCAGCAGGGTGCTCTTCTTGATTCCTTCTCTATGCATGCAGACATGCCTCAAGCAATGCTTAGAGGAGCCGAGGTACAGCACATCCAGGCAGACGTCCAGATAAGCGCTTCCAAGTTTGCACCAGGTCATTTGAGTCCTCTCAATATGCCAGGAAATGGAGAGTTGCTTCTCAAAAGATCACCTAATTACGATTACTCCTATTGGAATGGAAAAGGTGTTGAAAAGATGAACATACCACCTAAGACCAGAAAACCCAGGAGGCAAAATGACCCAAGGAATCGTTTGTTTTCAACACCTACTCCAACTAGCTACTACATTCGAGAGAATCCTTATGATGATAATGACCCAGACATGCGGCCATTATCCCCAGTTGAACTGAGTCATTTGATGTATCCAGGAAATGACACCAGTCATGATACCTCAAGGGGTATGCACAAGTCAACGTCGCTTCAAGGAAATGCCAGTCGAAATGTGTCTAGTGTGTCCCAGGGGCACAGCTTGGGTGCTTCTTTGATGGAGAACAATGAAAACTTTCACATGAGAGCCATGGTTGGGTATCTTGGATCCATTGATATTCCAGCTTCTGCAAATCTTCCAACTGCCAGTCTCCATGCGATTAGGGGATGTGTTCGAAGACTTCACAAAGAGCACAGGATACATTCCTTTATGATGATGGAGATTCGGACTGATGGTGTTCGTCTCGTGAACAGTAACCAGCGTATCGCTGTTGTGTACCCAAGAGAACGCCTTGCCTTCAGTGGTGTCTGCCCGGATGACAAGCGTTTCTTTGGCATTGTCACATCGCAGAACCCTGAGGAGATCCTAGATACCCTGGATAGTGATGATGAACCAATTGGAAGCTCTTGCCATGTTTTCATGGTGGATCCAGAGTTCAGAAGGCATGATGTGCATGCTCGGGTAATCTCGCAGTTTGGTGTCCCTTGCAACACGAACCCAGAAACAAACACCTGTGACATCTTCCCCTCGTCAGCCAAGCCAATCCTGCAACACGTGTCCCAATTATACCGTGACCGGAGTGACTTGTCCTACTTTGGTGAACTCTATGGGCAGTCCACATTCGTCAGTGGTCCTCGTCGAAGTAACAGTACCAACAGCAGTAACAGTGATAGCGGATTTGGTAATGGAAATAGTACTAAAGACCAAAGTGATTTCAATGCTCATATGGATCAAAGTCACCACAACCCAATCCTCGATGTGGCATCTTTGATGCGTAACAAGCGAGGTGGTGGTGGTAACAGGCATATTGTTCAAGCTGATGTCAATGCCTCCTTGTCGTCAGACGTGCCTTACTCTTTGTCTTCAACTTCACCTCAATCCATCGATACATCCCCACAGAACATGTACTTCAAAAACACCAAAGACATATCAGGCAGGCTCACTCCTAGAGCCCGCCCTGATCCTGTTGGCTTCCGTAGTCCTTCAGTAGTGCCAGTGCAACAAGAAAATGCCTTTCGCTATCAACAGCAGGCTGCGAGACCATCCAGCGTCCAAGTGCCTCTCCAGTCTCACATACAGCATTCTGCGCCTCCTGAGCTAAAACAATTCAAACAGCCCGGCATTGACTTCAATGCCCATAAACCAAATGCTGAAAGCTCTGGGTCCTCGACTTTGGAAGATAATTCCCAGAGAGGGAAGGAGTTGATGGGTCCACCAAAGAGCTTGCCTCCGACTGGACGTCACTTGATGTACAGCAAGCCCGCACAGGATTACCTTGATGGAGCCACTAATCAAGCTACAGCCAGGAAGGTCCAGCAGGAGATGGCAAGGAAACTATCGGATAACCAATCCTTTCATCAGGAACAACAGGTATGTCACATTCACTTTTATGTATTATTCTACATTAGTTGTAGAATGACATTTGTTTGTTTGTTTGTTATGATAAATTTCTTAATATTCTGTTTTCCAGGTCTACACCACATTTAGTTGAATTTTGTTCTTGTTAATTTGGCAGATTTGGGGTTGTATTCTTATAATTTTATTTCAAATTTGTTGATGGATGTTTGCTTTTTAAAATTGTTCTGACAGAATGATTTCACTGAACTATGAATTATATTATTTTCAGATGACCAACTCCTCCCCCCTCCCTCTTTTTTGGAATATAAATTTGTGCCTTTTTTTTAATAGTTCAACTTGCATTCATAGTAGACCAAACTTTATTTTCCTACAAACATCTATGAACTATTAAATTAAATACATGTATAGGAAGAATACATGTGGGTAGTCATAATGTAAATAACAATGGTACTGTACATTACAATTTTAATAAAACAAACATTGATTTAACCCTTGATCCACTGCAGCTATACAATGTATCTGTATACATATTTATTTTTCAATGTACATTTACAGTATGTACATTTGTAGCTCCTTAAAAATGGATGCCTACAATATCTTCTTCATGGATTAGGCAGTATGGATGTTCTCTTAATTGTGCATTGTGAAAAGTGAATAACAAATTTAATCAAGATGCCGTAATGGGTAGCTATTAATTGCAGCACTTATGTTACTTTCCCAGACCTTTGAATAGCAATTGAAGCCTATAATTATGAGGTGAAGTGTCCACTTTAATGCAATTTCTATGTGCTTCTACATGTATGTGCAGAATTGATTACTTAGAGTTAAAATTGATTAAAGTACTTTAAAATTTAGAAGTTTTCTTTGAAAGTATATTTACAATGCACATTATACTACAGGGTGACAGGGTCATTAAGGTAGTTTTCAATTCAAAGTAGGCAATAAAAGGTGATGTAAAAAGCCCTATTAATGATCGGGAGGGGGTTCCAAGGCCGGCAACGCAGGGGGAAGGGGTGGCCATCTTGAGGAATGCTAAAGCATATTGATCGTTCACAGTTGGTCAGGGTAATCCACATGGCGTTATTTGAAAAGGATGACAATGGGATTGTTTCATGGTGACTTGGTTAAGACTTAATCCCCCATCTGTCCCAGGTATTCATTAGTGGTAAAATGAAGGCAATGATCACTATAGATATAATAAGCAGAAATGATCTATTGACTTTCGTTCTGCACGTTGAATTAAGAAACCCAAACATAAGGGCCCCTATTATATACAATGGTATCTTATCTACAATGTATGCTACTGACTAGGCTACCCTGTTGAATACGCATTAATAAAGAAAGGAATAAAAACATGTGGTAATGAAGGCCTTGTACTTTCCACTCTTGCTAACGTCAGTTGTCACTAGTCTTTTAAAGTTGTTTGAGAAGCAATAGAAATAAATTCATCAGACTTCAGTTCCAATTTGTGCTCATTCAGTAGCATACTTTGTGTTTTACTAGAATGAAAAATATTTTCAACTTACTGAAGGGAATGTTTATTAACTAGGCAGCAGGGAGAAACATGTTTACAAATTACAGAAAGAAATATCAACAGACTTTGTGAATACAAGACTCCCGAGTCCCAACCGCCGCCCCCCCCCCCCCTAAAAAAAAATAAAAAAATAGAAGTTTATAAATTCCAGAGAGTTGTATCAACATTCTGTGTATTAACTTACCACTAGAGTAGGCCAAAGTAGACACGTTGTGTGTGTACTCTTATTACTATTCTCGCATTTTATTGGCCTCCATGCACAATGTAATACTGTACATGTACATGTACACTGAACTCTTTAAAAATTCAGATTAAATTTTGGCCTCGTAAACTTTTCAGCATTGCTTCATAAAAATGAAAGGATTACTATGGTTCCTGTATTTCAATACTTGACAGCAGTGGGGCTCAACGGATTAATTTTTTGTTATGTTTACGAGCGTCAGAATTACAGAATATCTTACCAAAACTTTTCAATGCTTGACAGCAGTGGGGCTCAACGGATTAATTCTATGTTATGTTTACGAGCTTCAGAATTACAGAATATATCTTACCAAAACTTGTTTTATTTGTTCTGGGTAGCCTCCGCACCACAGTAGAGTGCGTGTACAGTTCAAAGAAGATGATGGGGGTTGTCATGATTTATCTTTTATCTGTTCTTGTGCTTTGGAATGTGAAATTGTGAATGTACTTTTTGGAAGTGACAAAACTATGGAGCTGGCAAACAGAGTGGGTAGGTGGATGCACGGTTCGCTATTGTGTAGGTCACACCGAGAGTAAAATGGAATGTGTATTTGGGAGCAACTTGGTTACTAGTTCAATTATTATAGCATGTATTTGGGATTGATTTGTATTCTTTTTAGTGTATGATTGTCAAATGACCTTCATATTTTCATTTCGTTAAAAAAAAAACATATGCAGGAAAAATAGAAACATGTACTGCTTATTTTACTGCATGGTGATCAATAGAATCACATTTTCCAAAGTGGATATTCAAGCAAAAAAAAAGCAAACAAACCAAGGAAAAAGAAGAGAGAAAAAATAAGAATGGACAGAAGAAAAGATAAAGTCATGTAATGGAATTAAGATAAAATTAAGGATAACATGTTTCATGAAAATAAATTCTATTCCTCTCTCTTTTTTTGGGGGGGGGGTTATGAATTTGACATTTTACTACGTCAATTCTCTCACTCTGTAAAAGAATGTCTGTCAAGTCAAAAAGCCTCAGTCAATACAAAAATGGTTGAGAGAACTTTTTTTTTACCATGCATGGTTTCAAGTACATATTCATGTTCATTGTATGTACATGTAGGGCTACATGTGTACATGTTAAATCACAAAATATAATACTACCATATAGAAATGGAATTGTATTTTTCTCTGGGTAATGCCTTTAGCTTTATTTAGTCTAGGTTTGGTTTGATTTGCAGTGAAATACTAATTAAATTCTCTTTTAAATTAACACGTACTATTGTACTTAGTATGTACATGTGATGTTTACATTGACTCTTTAAAAAGACACTGTTAATGACCCTAAAGTGCATTCCTTTCAGGCAGTCTAGATGGACTTAATTGTCACTTAAAGTCCTTTTAAATTTGCTCAATCTACAAATATAGTCAGATGGAAGATCACTTGGTCAATTAAGATTCTTAATTATATTTTAATCACCTGTGATTTATCGAGGGCACCAAAATTACATTACATCAGTACATTACATTTGTACATGTACATGTACATCTGGTGTGTGATATTTTGAATGCAAATTAATGTTTCCTTTGTGCTTGTCCAACTGTACTGTATAAATATCTATATTTGATTTTGTGTTTGTTTAATGTTACTATACGAATACTATATTACTTTTTATGATACATGTACCTGGCAATATTAAAGTACAAATCATACTTTTCAAATCATTCAAAAGATCTACTTATGAAGCAAAAAGAAGAGTGCCTTCGTGAGGTGCTACAATGATAATGAAATTATTTGTCAAAAGGGTCCATTTGCCAAATACATGTATATGTAGCCTCTTTATTTGTAAATGATTAACACTTTGGGAGCATAGTGTTGGATGATACATGTGCATGCTGTAGATCTCATGCACCTCATTCAGCCATGCAAAATAAAAACAGTCTTTTGAAAAAAAACATCCATCCCTTTGTTTTTTAAATTCAATTACACAAAGAAAACCACATTCTTGTTCCTGAGAGTAGAAAGCAAGGTTTATCGATCATCCTTTGTAAATGAATATCCCTTGAAGGGCACATTTAAATGCTTGTCCGTTGAATGTCAATAAAAGATAAAGCAAGTATTCATGCGTTCCCTCATTAATCCATTATTAATGAAGGCACCATACTTTTTGTGCATCCATGCGTGGAGGTAAACAAACACTTGTAAAGGCTGTACTTGGAAAACCTTGTGCGGACCAATATGTTTTATGGACTTGTAAAAGATGTTTGATTGACACTGTGGCTCAACAGTGTGTCGTTGATTGCTTGTAATTCATCCAAGAACAAAAAGAAGAAGCATGATTTTGATATTGAAGGGTCAGGGGTCCTACATGTATGCCGAGCTACGGCCATATGGGCATTAACTCCTATCAATGGGCTACTGCCAGTAAGATGATAATAATAATCCGTTCTTAGTACAGTGCATGCTTATCAAAAAATGACATATAGGGGTACATGTGATATATCTATTCACTTTAAAAGGACTTTGGTGGATAGCTTTACACCCAGGAAAAGAAATATTTTTAAAATATCGGGGCTACTTTTCAAGCTTATTTGCATGAAAATAACACTCTTTAATTTGTTTTGCATTGAACTCTATGCAAATTTTTGTTTGCTCTTTTATGACCTTCGGGGCTCTTTTTGGCATTTCGGTGGGGGGGGGGGGGGGGTGCTAAGTAGCCCTGAGCTAAATTTTTTCCCTGATTACACCGGGTTTATCTCATCTCGGCCAGCCGTAGAGCTGAATTCATTCAATGAATGAATCCTACCAGGTTATCCACTTCACCTGGGTTGAGTGTGGCAAATGAAGATACAGGTACAAACCCTGTTAAAGGGCATTAGTGCCCTTTCCTAGGACTCGGAGTACTTGTGCACTTTCGTACAGTAGTGCACTGCATACCGTACATACATCGCTGATGTACATGAAAGATGTTTCCAAAATCTCTGAAAGATTGAAAACTGCATGCCTCTAGTCAAAGAATCACCTGTAAGGTGCTCAAAATTTGCACTTGTCATTAACAACAAGAATACAAGATGTTTGTCCGATCTGAGTCATCTTACAAACAACTCCCGCGCACTCTCTCTCTCTCCATTTAAAGATCGACTTTGATCACTTTCATTTTTTTCTTGCTTTGCAATCGTTTGACCAGAACTCAACTTTATCCTTAAAGCAATCCTCCTTTAATTTATCTAATCCTTGTGGAAAATACCAGGATGCCACTTATTTAACCAGAAAATTGTATATTTACCCTACTTCTTTAGATGTACATCTAATTATACCTCAGAGAAAAACTTCCCGAGAGAAAGGGCCTTTTCCGAAAATGTGTGTAATAAGTAAAAACACAGGTTCCCCTAAGCAAACACTCAGCCCCTTCACAAAGTGCTTCAACAAGTTGTGGCATTTGAATATAAATTCATTGTTTGCTTTTGTGAAGCCTTCCAATTCTACTGTATTACTCTTTTCACACTTGTTTTGATTAGTCCTGTACTCCCTGTACTATCCTTAGCCCTGGACTGATATAATAAATACAGTATGAAATACAGAAAGGACCAAAAGAAAAGCAAATGCGTGTGAGGAATGTTCCTGAAAGAGAGAGAAAATGATAATCCCCAATTCTACATCATCATCTACATGTATATTATCATCAGTATCATTATCAACATCTTCAGTAACATCAGTACGAACATCATCTTCATCGTCACACCAGTAATCAAAACTAAATGACTGGTCCAAGTTGATATCACAGACTCCCGATGATTGTTTTCAGTTCCCGCTCACCTACCGATGGGATGCATGACTGCCAGAGTGTTCATAAGACAAGCCCAATTAGGCTGGAAATGAAATGTGAGGTTTTTGTAAATCACTGCTCATTCCGTTCTATAGACTGTGTACAATGGCGGCACACCTGTTTTAGTTCTTATTTGTGTGTGACCTGCATGAATCTGAACTTACAAATCCATCCATTTTATATTGTTCTGTTCATGTGCCCAAATATATGCTGTCCATTTGTATACATGTACTTGTAGTTCTGTAGAAAGTAGCAAGAAAACTATTTGTACATGTAAGAACCTCTTAATTTCAGATTTTGTATTGCAATTTGAAATTATGCCATATTTCTAGGTTTTGAGGTTAAAAAAAAAAAAGCAATATGAAGATAGAAAGTACATGTAATTCATGGTTTTAACCTACATGTATATGAGATGTACAGTCATTCATGCATGCTCTCCTGGTTTAACAAACAATTTGCAAGAAATTCCTCTTGATTACCTGTGATACTCCACAGTCCACATTTTAAAGAAAAATGTAATATCTAGATAAATAGTTGAAATTCAATTAGTTTTTTTTTCTGTTCATTTTATTTCAAGGCCTGTCCAATTTCTTTTTAACTTTCTTATCTTCTTAATAAGTTGAAGCAAGGCCAATAATGCAACAGAAGGGGTCTTGACCAAATCATATTATGAATGGAATGTAAATTTGTCCAAAATAAAGTATGTTCAAATATTAAGAGGGCTCTCCAAGGAGCACTCGTACCCCAAAGTCAGTTTTGGAAGACACACCCTTAATTCAATCCCCTTTTACATCAGTAGGCATACCTGTATGGTCAGGTACTGTAGGCCTCTTCAATTGTCATTGACCCATAGGCAAATAGTTTTCAGAACCCACAGAAAATGAAGTGTTTACTTATTGACAATAAGCATGAATGGGATCTTTCCTCTCACCTGTACTGCTTCTTGTATTGTAATGCAATGGGATTGCTTTCCTGAAACCCTCCCCCACTTTGGTAAAATATCAGTAGTCTTCAACCACAGACAGGCTACAGTAATGAAGTTTGCGAAAGATGCGAACTTTGTTGATTTTTTTAATGGATTCATCTGTTTTAGATTATATAGACTAGAAAATGAATAAATTCAAAGGAGGCTCAGGCTTTCCTCTCACCTGAACTGCTTCTTGTAATATAATGCAATGCGATTACTCCCCCCCCCCCCCCCCCCCCCTTTCCCCACTTGGGTAAAGTTTTGGTAGTCTTCGATCACAGACATTTTTTTCTCCTAAGAGCCAGAAGGGCATTATATTTTACAACAGAGCTCATGTCCTTCATGCTCTCAAAGGACAATCTGACATTTTGAATGATGCAAAATCCTTGATAATTTATGTGCACCATTACCTTGTTTTGATTTGATGGAAAGGATTTTTCTTTAGGGGAGGGGGGGGGGGGGGCAAGGGTAGAGCAACATAGCCTTTAAATATGGAGTATGGTACTAATAGAGATCATGTCTTATTTTGTTTTTCCAGTTTTATCCCAATTTTATATATCATATATCAAACACCCTTAATTTATTAATCAACCTAAAGTTTATAATGGTTATAGATTCTTACTCAATATATAAACATGTACAAGTAGAATACAGCCTCCATTTTCCATGACATGACGTCGTACATGTAGTGTTCCTACAAAGTTTAACATACCGTACTATATTTCTAGCTTGTATGGCCCTCATCAAACTTGAGTAAATATTACCATTGAGGTTCATGTACAAACATGTATTGTAGTAATGTTTAATTTTTACCTCACATCATACTCTAATTCAGACACCTGTACTGTAGTTGAGCCTTTGTACGATGTGTCGAAATGAACAATAGACAGTACTTCAATTATCTTGAGTACCAGTACACTCTGTGGACATTGAATGTAGACCTGCATGTACAAACTACAAAGTATAAGGCCTTCATGTACCTGTATGTGCCTGCCTCCATAATTTTATCATGTAAATCACACTCTAAATAGTGTGCGGATGCCATAAAGCATTGATTGTTCATTATGAACGAACTATCAAACCGCCCTATCATACACCCTCTACCCATCGTCAACGGCTGATACCCGGCGTTGTGTATTATACCATGCTCTGACATATTGTTCCCTTTTCTGTCGGCCCATGAATGGTGCACTCTGCCGAGTGGTGTAAATTTGATTGTAAAACCCATACAATGCTTTCATTTATAGAGGCTTCTTTGAAGTACACACCTCACGCATAATACTCTTACCCCATAGGAAGTTTGTTCTGCATAGTTTACATGCATTGCTACAAAGATGGCTTTCAAATTTGTTGGAGGGGGGGGGGGGGGATTGTTATAAATGACATTTGTTAGTAATGTGGATTTTATTCTTCTCAATCTGTAGGTGGGTTCAAATGGCGCCAGGTTAAATTCTTTTCTTTTTCTATAATTGCATTGTCATTTGTTGCTCATTTTTTGAGTAATCAATACGAGATACATGTACAGTGTACATGTACATGTAAGAATACAGATATTTCATTTCCTAAATGTAATTTTTTAGGAGGATGATACAAATTTAATCTTTTAAAATTATTGCAATTGTAGTCTATACAAGTACATGTACATGTACCTGTACCTGTACTTCATGGGCTTGTTTCTTCAATAGCAAAATAACTGAAAATCATCCTTTTCTCAAATTGTTAATTCAGTTATTATCCACAGTATTGTAAAGCTGTACATACAAATTAATACATTAAATTGCTCATACTGTACATGTACAGTACATGATGATGGTTAGCTCTTATTTATGTATATATGTACACCTGTACATTACAAGCAGAACACATAAATGAATAGTATTTTTTTTAAGTTTAACATTTGGTTTGTACTTCCTAAGTTTCTATGGCAATAAGAAGTTCAGACTGCAGGCATGGGGGTTCGGATTGGAATTTGTAGGGTCCGAATGTATGGGCCACCTGCTGAAATGATGAAATTTGTGGTCCCAGAGACAAAATTTAGGGACCAATGTGTCCCACCCTCCTGTATGTGTTAAACCTTGGAATGGGTTTCATGTTTCATTGTATTAATTTGTGTTCAGTAGGTCTGTAATGATTTGGACACTTATGTAATGCTATAAAATCTAAGTTTTTTTCTTGTAATGTAATGTAATCTTTTTTTCTTCTTGCAGCTATTACGTCACAACAGTGACTGTTCTGAGTACAGCAGCTCTACACGGTTGTCCAAGCAGGCTATAGAGAGACTTCAGAAGGTTCGTCATGATCCTCGTCATCTTACGCCTTCAAATCAGGTACAGAACTGTCTTATTTCATTAATTAGAAGATGATAATAAGGTTTAAGATAATAGAAATTATATTCCACATACAAAGAATCTTGCACTACGATTGGTCAAAAGTAAATCATGTGATGAAAGATGGTTCGCCCATCATTGATAGGCGAAGAAAGTTTGTTGCACTGTGTAGATAGAGAACTATCTGTAAAGATAGCTCTCTATGGATATAATCCTCCTTGTATCCATTAGTTGTTGCCATGTCAGGCAAGCCTCAAACGAAATGTGGGTCATTGTTATTTCAGAATGCATAGTTTGATTATGTTAGTAAGCTGGTCCCATCAAATAATACGCCACGATGTAAGATCAAATTGTCCCCAACAACATTTTCCATGAAGCTGGGAGTCTTGCTCTGGCTTCATATATATTATGAGCTTCATGTGCATCGCGGTGTCTGAATACAATGCACGGCGTTCATCACCTTTTGAGAATGGGTACAAGGCGTACGTGTCTGGTACCCCTCTTGACACCGTACCCCAAATTCCATCCCCCGTCACGGAACCCAAACGGTATGTTTTTATGCTCCTGGCGTCATTCCCCAACCGAGGATTTCCACGGAAGAAATTTGTCCAACAGAATGGCTAACCCCTTGAACTGGGTCGACCCCTTGCCACTGTGAGTCTGCCTGACATGGGGAATGGCTGTTGCCTTGGGAATGATTGTTGTAGGGGGCGGGGCTAAGTGATCCCCTCTGGTTGATACCTTGGTCTAGATTGGAGGATGCTTGAAGGTGATGTTGATTGAATGATCTGTGGTGTGAATTGAAAGGTGGGTCTATTGGGGGTCTTGCAATGACAGCTAAAACATGGCAAAATGCTAACCGTCCCCGCGAGTATGAGTTTCTTGATGCATGCACGCAGGTGCATGGTTTCTCGTATTGTTAGTGGATAATTATGTTAACAAGAAAAATGATAAACAAGTTTCAACAAAAATAAATTTAAAGTCTCTTCTTAGTGCTTTTAGGCAAAAACAAGGGAAATTATTTCTTCTTGTGATGAAGCATTATTGATTCCAACCAAAGACTAGAAATTTGATATTTTCCTGGTTTCCAAGAATATCTGGAGATGTTAAAGCAGTAATCGATAGGAAAGATGTTGGCATATATTATGCAGACAGCATAATCTTAGGCTCTATTGAGCCTTCAACTTCACCCCTCGTCTTCAAGTCAATTGGCTTCTGATGAGAAAACCAGGCAGGATTAAACAAGCACTCTGAAAAAAGTGAAAGGAGAAACTTACATGTACATTGTAGGTGCTGAGCTGTGGATAAAACCATCATGTTCTGTACATGTACTGTAAGTGTATGAAACAATACATTTTCTGCGAGTGTCTTTAGAAAAGAGCATGCATGGAGCAATAATCTGACAGGATTGTACTGATTTTTAATTCTTTTTGTTCTTTCGTTAATTGTTAACATACAGGATGCCTGATATTGTTTTTGGAGTTGATTTTATACCAGCTGTACACAAAATATCTTCCTAAGTGATTGGATCCTTTAAATAATGTAATGTGACTTACTGACTTGTTCTTTATACCTTTAAGCAAAGAGAAGTTAGCTTTACTTTTCATATATAACCTTGATAATTTAGATGGTGGTATCCTATTCTCACAAGACTGCATATTTATAGAATATCTGATTACTGGTATAGTCATCATTTTCATATTGCATTGCAATCTGAAGGGAAAATCTCAAGATATAAATTAAATGTCAGCATCTTGTAATAGCTTTTCTTGTTTTCTCTGTGTTTTCAAGCTAAGTTATTTCATTTCATTTGCATCCCTTATAATCATTTTTAGGCTGAATACATTACTGAAAAAGTACTGTTTAGTTTTGAATAACTTGTGCTTATCTGTTGCACAACGGTTCTTTCTGATTATACAATGAATCTCAACTTAAGGCATTCATGCAGGGGCCACAGTTTCCATGTATACATGACAGACGATTTGTCCACTCCACTTCATTCATTCAAAAAGTGGTCACAGTTTTATACACATACATCACAGTGACAATTCTTAATGGCTTTTAGCGCCACTATGCCATGTCACCCAAATACTATTGTAGGCTGCTACTAGCTGCTACACTACACATATATGATGGAAATGATATCGTTTCCATACAAGGTAGGCTCGATGCTAATGCGATTCACTATTTCTATTGTGAATGTTACGCACCGCTGACTAAATTTTTATCCTGCCGAAAATCACTATAGAATTCCCCCCCCCCCTGTTACACACACTAAGTGCTGTAAGATAGATACAGAGGAATGTGTACTGTACACATACTTGTACTTGTCGTCTCAAAATGTTTGTTGATCAAACATTTTTCATGGAATGTTTACTTTGATATTTATAATGATATGATTTGTAACCATAGTTTTATTGATCATAGAGGCCAACAGTGTACAAAGGTAAATGAACCCAGGTGGGTATGTGAAAAGGGAAAAATAGATTGGAGTTTGAAACATAATTTTATTTTCAATTTTGCTCACATGATGGTTGACTTAAATCTGTAGATTGTATGAGAGTCCGAGATTCAAATGAAAATACACAACTGACAACAGCCATTTATAGCCAAATATGTAAATAATATCCACTTTCATTTCAATCTTTTAGAAATTCTACATTACACCTCTAATCATTCCTCAGAAAACAGAATAGTAGTGTCTCGCCAGTAATCTTTGATAGTTCACACGTATATCATCTATCTAGAAAAAAAGAAAGAAAAAACTTTTGAAAGTAATTTTCTCATGCACTTGTAGAAATCCAAAACCAGTTCAAGCTTGCAAGCTGAATCTATACGAACTGTGTCTCTTCACATCGTCATTGCCTGATTGGTGTAAGAAAGGTCATTATTAGCCTTCCAGCTGAGCGCAGCATGCTGGGATGGAATTTGGAGCCCAGGAGAGGTTCTGTGCACCATACTGGGATGTTTAGTACAAGCTTAGCCATCAGTGAAATAAAATTAATTGCACGGTTTAAGAGATTAGAATAGTTATCGTCAACAACTGGCCTGTTTTCACAGCAAATTTGTATGGCGATATTAACAGCATTGAGGGTTGTTTTTGTTGAGGAATTCACCAATGTTTTGTTATAGTGTTGAAAAGGGGATGTGAACTTTGTAGGCTTGTTTTCAAGTCTAAGCATAATACATTGTTCGCTGTGGCAATAGCCACTTCATCAGAACGTCATCCAAAGACAATTTATGTCATCAGATCATCACCACAAGACAATTTACAGTGACCACAATGTTGGGGGTGCTCTCTTTTGTGCGGGCCAGAACCAATTCAAATTCCTTGTCAGATTAAAGGAGAAATAACCCTTTATTCTTGAAAACCACTCCGATCAATATGTCCCCTTTTGAGCAGAGAGTATGGGACAATAGCCCATCAAGGGGGCCATCAGTAGCGCCCATTGCCTGCACCAGATCATCCAGAGGGACCCGCCATGCATAGCTAGCCATCCACCATGCATGTCCTGGCCCTGCCTGCAAGGGGGGCTACGTCCGTGCAACGCCTTGGGAACGCTCCCTCCCACAGCAAAAACTTTCAAGCGTGTGTATTGATCTCAAGTGGGGGGGTATTCACTAAACAACCTTTGTTCACTTCACAATGGGCTAAAATAGCACAGGCTACAACTGATGCGGGATGATTGGTCAAAGTTTTCATAGGGTGGTGATCACAATATTGTGGGACCACCATTGTTATGGAGATTATAACTCACTGATTGTTCATGTATAAACCCTCTAGCATTCATTAATTGTATCCTCATGTTTCTGGTGTATAAAGTATTTAAAATGTGAGGTGCATAGTTAGATTCACTAATTCACACGATTCACAATACATGCATGTATATTATCCATATAATATCCATTTTTATAGAAAGTAGCTCACTTGCTGAAGGTCCTAGTTTATGTACCTTCACCTATCAATAAAATATACACTTGTTCAATATCACATTTTTCTGCAACCTTTAGGTATAAGCATTAACAGAACAAATTTTATGTCCCAATCTTAACTTGTTCATTGAATATATCCTTGTTTTCAAAGCTTTAGGATCCAAAAAAATGTTGTTATGAGAAAGAAATCATGACATTTAATCTTGAACTTTCAGTGTTGAGGGTATCAGTTTGTGGGTAGCTGATTTCAATAACTTTTACTCAGTCACCAAATTTGTCATTGTGCTTCTGATATCTGTGAAGCTGTGAATGATATTTTGAAGCTTTAGGATATGAAGAAGAAGACAAATTTCCAACAGAAATGTCTCAATTAGGATTTGTTTATTTATTAATTTCTCCTATTCTCTAATCTCTATATTAGTTTCCACAAAGAATCTTGAAGCTGGACTTCAGCAATTCATTTTTTTTGTATTAAAATGTTTGATTTTTTTTAATGGAAACTTGCTTGACAGTGATGCACACAGGACGAAGAAATGCTTATTTTTTTAGCCATTTCTAAGTATAAGAACAAAGGTACACAATGTGAGTGACAGTTTGATGTAATCTAAAAGATGAAAATATTTAGCTTTCAATCAAAATTCTTCACGCATAGCCTATAACCACCAAGGGTATATACTATGGGGGCAATTGTACGCCTCCCAGTTAGAAGGAGTTACACAAAAAATCAATATGGATTGTAAACCGGGATTTGATTCTGGTTGAATACGATCCGCGTGGCGTGGTCCTGGCAGTTGACACCAGCCTCCAGAGAGACTGTACGCTCTCGAAGCGTTGCCCGAATGAAAGCAACCGTACATCTCGGCCGGGCCAGGTGCAAGTCCCCGAGATGGAGCCAGGGGAAGATTTACCCCCAAAAAATATGTCTCTTGGGAAATCCACTTCCTCTCTGCTATGTAGATATCAATTGAATTGAAAAGAATTTGAATGACTGGTGTTTATGAAGTTTATGAAGTCAGACAATCTTTAGTCAGTAAAGGATTTGACAGTGTCTATCAATATTTTGACTT